TGGGAGAAGTGGGGCCACTGCAATTCAGGTTCTCTAAGCAATTGCCAAGCAGGACGCGAGCGATCGCTGATCTCGCTGGCGGCGGCGGCGGCGGCGGCGGCGGCGCGGAGCTGCTGCGGTTCCCGCTGCTCTGGGAGGAGGCGGTGTGTGCGCCGCTGCGAAGGCGAGATGGAAACTGCACCGCCACGGCGCGCTCCCGCTGTGTCTGGAGCTCCGTCGTCTTCTCTGCCTCCAGTCTCTGCACCTCCCACCCCCTCCCTCCTCCTCCCGCTAGCTCCCCCGCCCTCTGCTGCTCGCAGCCGCGCCAGGATCTACTGTAAGAGTGAGTTGTTTGGACGTAGTCACACACTCACGGAGGGAAGTAGTCTGGAGGCTGCCGTGGTGAGTGTTGCCTAGCGGTCTCCGGGAAAGGTGCGTCTCCCTCCCCGGATAATTAGGGCGAAGAATCCTCCTGACAACGCCTTGCGAGGACCTGGGCTCCCGGGAGGCGGAAGGGAAATGAGCTCTAGCTCAGTTGGCAACCCCTAGAGAAGCGGGTCCCTTGGTTTGGCATATTGCCTGCTGCCCATCACAGGCTTGTGGCATCAACAATCTTGTCGTCACATAGCCACACATGTGCAGGTTCTGCTGGTCGGTGGCTAGTTTCTTAAACACTCATATCGCTCAGAGCTGCTGACTTTTTTTCTGTTCTTCCAGTTCTTTGGCAGCTAGAGTGAGATTTGTCAACATTGCCTTCACCGGTAAATAGTAGAATTTCTAAATATAGAGACAGTAGCTGTGATTGAGATTTTAGGAAGTCAAAGTATTTGGCTTATTGAGATTTGTAGTGTGCCAGGTACGTTATGATGACTAAATTCGTTAATTTCATTGATAGACTATTTTAGTATATTAGAAATCATAGGTGCTCACTTTAGCAGCACATATACTAAAATAAGAAATCACAGGATATGCAGATATCTGCCATTAATTCCAGTGAAATTGGCACTGGTCAAATAATTTCAGGGATTTAAAAAAAATATTTTAATTTCTTGTGTTCTACTGCATTGAGAGACTTACAAATAACTAAGAAAAAAACTTTAAAATGATTAACTTTCTATGCTTCCCCTCTATATGTCTTGCTTTAACATTTTTCTTCAATTTTCCATTCTTTCAAAGAGATACCCCTGAAGGGCAATTTTAGTATACTGGCATAACAAAAACGACTGCAAAGAAATCATTTACAAAAAAAAAAAAAATGATTTTTAGAAGATAGGTTTTTTTGTTTAATTTGGTATATAGTAACTTGTAATCACGCCTAATAAGGGCGAGTCTGCTCACCAGTTTTGATACCTAGAATCCTGTTTATCTTCACAAATGTCTCATCATCTTTAGCTTATGACATTTGTTTTTTGTTTAAATATTTGCAATAAGTATGAAAATAAAGCAGCAGAGGTGCAGTTTTGTAAAGAGGTGGAAGCCCGTCTTTGACTTTTTTTCTGAAATGTTTTGGCACCAGAAATCTAAAAGCTGCTTCTTTCTATTATAATGTGCTTCAAATGCATGAAACAAATTTAAAGGAAAAACAGTGAACCAGTCTTTCAGTTGGGTAAAAAGCCTCACAGTGAGATGCATTTATGTTTCTATTTGAAGACCATTCAAAAGGTAAGCTCCTCTCCTCAAATTGATAGTTGAGTTATTTAAAAAATAGCTGAACGGAATATCAAATAAATTATCTAAAGCTTAGGAATACATGAAAATACTAATATGAGACATGGTTTAATGGAGCTTTGAGCTAGTTGCTTTACTTTCTATAGGCCTCAGTATCCTTATCAGTAAGATGAGGAATTTGGAGAAGATGATCTTCAAGAAGATGATCTCCCTTTCTTCCATATCCTTTGCATTTCCATGTTGCTACCCTGTTCACCTATCTTTACTTACTGTAGGTTCCAAAATTACCATATGTCTTCAGCATAGCATTTAGTGCCTTCTACTACAAAAGGCTTAAACAAATTTTTTATTTTACTTTATACTAAAATTTTAAATTCAGTGTTTCCCAAATTTCCTTGTACCTCTCTGTTTTTATGTCTGTCACTCCATTAAACCAAAGTTCTACCCTTAAAATATTTAACGCCCCCCCACGACACATACACACTCATACATGCACACACACACACACACACACACACACATACACCTCTCTTACCTAAAATTCTAACTAGTGTCCAAAGAGAGTCAGACATTCAACTCTGATATTTTCTTTTCCAAAAAAGAAGTGATTTGATTCTCTTTCTCAAAGTATTTATATCTTATGATTTATGTCAAGTAACACAATTGGCAATATCTTCTGAATGAAAAACTGGAACAAATTATCTAACAGTTATAAGTATATACATGTATATATTTTAAGTATATAGAA